ATTACAAATATCCATGGAAGCAGGCAAGTCGAACCTAGCTGTAAAACAAAAGAAAACTGTGAAAATTTATTTACAACAAAAAAATTAAATGTCTCGGTATATGCTAAATTTTCAAATATTTTGTTACAGCTTTCAGAAAATGTACTGAATGACATGAGCGTAGTTACCAAACTCTCCTACGCTATAGAACTAGCAGCCTTAAAATTGTGCCTTAGTTCAGAATTTATTTTAAAAATCAGCTATATTTATGTTCGCAAAACACAAAAAAAAATATTCATTTGGCAGATGATAATTTAATAAAACCAACACACCGGAACAGAAACGGATGTTTTTGAAGTAGGTGAATACCATGGATGTACTATTAAACAGGATACAGCATGTCGTACGGAGAATGGGACACGAGACCGTGTTGCATTATGGGAAATCTTAGGGAAAACTGGCGGCTGGCGATCATCTAAGTTGGCGGTAATCTAAAGTTGGATCTCCACCGAAGCAACGGCAACCTTGTTGCCTAAGTTGCGCACCGTTTGTTTCTCCATGTTGCCGTTGCTTCCAGTTCAAGAGTTGGAAACGAGTCAACTTTTGTTGCCGTTGCCATCCCTAGTAGCCAATCGGATTCGTTGCTAGTTTCCGCTCCCAAACCTCGTATTTTGATCTCGCACGTGAAAGAAGCGAAGCGGCAATTGGAATTTTAAAATTTGCTTATGTAAAAGTTAAGAAAAATTTGGTTAAGAATTATTAAAGAAAATGAAAGAACAATTAATTGTTTACGTGAGAAATAGCCCATGGCTATATGATTATAGCTGTGCGGATTTCAGAGACGCAGAAAAAAAGATGCAAACTTGGATAAAAATAGCCGAAAAGCTTAGCATAGATGGTGAGTAAAATTTTACTATTACTTAATTTGTTTTAATAATAAATTTTGTATAATATTTTTGAATTTACTTCATTAATCAAATCAATGTTATGTAACCTATTAATGGAAAGTATTTTTAATTGATTTCCAAAGATAATTTAATACTAATAATATTTTTGACAGTCATAACAATAGTTAAGTTACTGTTTATAAATAACTAAATATATAGTATTCTGTAAGGAAATTTATTTATGATGAATGAAAAAAAATTTGTTCCACTGCTATATTAGAGCCTTTAAAGGATATTTAAGTCAAATACTAAACAGTATATTCATTGAATATGGATCTTTGCTGTTATATACTTTCATCCATGCACTTGCTACAATACATTTTCTCACCTTTTTTTTAGAAAAAAAAAATCTTGTTGTTTATGAAATTCACTGTTTTAGTTTTATCACTAGTTCTTAAAAATTATTTTTTTGAATAAAATTTTGAGTGAAAAGTTTGTATAGATGTCTTAAAAATGTCATTTGAATACTGTATTTGACATTTTTGTCTTGACAATTTATTTTTAATATTTCAAAGTAACTGAAGCCAAACGGAAGTGGAAATGTCTCAGAGCTTCTTTCGTAAGAAAAAAAAACTAGGGCCTAGTGGCACTGCTGCAAAAAAGAAGGTTGAGTGGATACACATGAAGGCGATGTCATTTTTACATGGCCATGTCAGAGAGAAGCGGGAGTATGAATTTTAATTTTTTTTGAATTTATATATTTATATGCATAAAAAAAGGTATCAGAACTATTATTTAACATGACTTTTTTTAACAGGACTTACAGTAATTATGAACAACCGATTTCTCAACCAGCTGAAATTTCTAGTAAGCAAAAATAAAATATAAATTTTTTACTTATTTCAAAGCCCATTGTTTACTCACAAGATATTAATGTCCAGTTGTTTTATTAGCGAAAAAAACCCTATCACAATTTTCATATTTTTCACAAATTAGAAACATTCTTTGCAATCCTATATTCTGAAACAATCATTAGAATTGTAAAAAAAATTTAAATTATAAAAATCATTAGAACACTCTGAAATTTCAATTTTTTTGTTTTAGAAGTTTTTATGTTTCAATTAGAAAGGAAAGAAAGTATATTCAAATTTGTTTAACAAAAACATTTAAATTGTGTTATTAAATGTATCGGTAAGCAACTTTTGAGTAGTGAAAATTAGAACTTATGCACTAGTTTAGAAAAAATACACATTTATTTATAAAAATTTTATATTTGTTTCACAAAATGTTAAAACTAATATCTTAGAATTCAGGAAAAACCAGTTTTTAAATTTTTTTTCCATCCCATTTATGGCTATTTTTTACTGATATTAAAACCAGACATAGTTTCATGCTTTTGTTTTTAGTTTTTCTTGTTTATTAGTAATAAACAAGAAAAACTAAATATAACTTAGCAATAAACATGTGGCAACTCAAGCCACGAATAAGGTTAAATCCCCACAAAAGGGATTTCTATTAGGCGTCTTCCCTAACCGAGGGAGAATTCAATCAGGGGCCCTACCATGAACTACTTGGAATGGAACGAAGATTCCCGCCTGGAACGAGAAGCTGGGAAAGTTTGATTCCATGTCATCTCTAAATCGTACCATGAACACTCACTTGGAATCAGACATTCCAAGATTCTGGTTCTAAGGGCGTGGCTTGAATTTAACCAATCGCTGAATTTATTCAATATTTATTTTC